CATGACGGTCTGAGGTGTACTTTCAGCAACAGACTGAAAATGAGCTACTCTGGGAGCAAACCCAGAAACTTGAAGAAAGCCAGGGTAAGTAAAGGAAGTTTACTGGGGGACTGTCACAGTGAAACCAAAGTTTCTAAGGTTTATGCTGCTGGAAGCAGACAACTGGACTGAAGAGCATCCACAAGGACTGGAGAACCAGAGGGGCCAAGGGAGTGATGAGCCCTGATGAGTTCTGCTTAACAGTTCATTGACAATACACTACTAGGATATAAAAACAGTTATCAGAAACAATGCAGACTTCACCAGCAGCATGAAATGACAAGGGCCTGCAGCCTTTTCTCAGCTGCCATTATTTAGTTATTCACAGCTGGGAAATATCTGAGAAATCCATTAAGCTTTCACCCTGAGACAAAAGTTTACAATAATAACAGACATGAATTTGATCAGAGAAGTCTGAAAAATAATGTCAGGATAACTGAATTGTTAACTTTGTATGAACTTATCAATAAGAAAACTCTCTTTTGTTCAGAAGTGTTAGAAGAATTGTTAATGCTACACTAAGTGTTCTCTCCAAGTAAAACATGCTTTTGGTTCCCTAATGCTTTACTTGATGAATTCTGACTTGCTCTTATCAGGCTCACTAAGGGCCTGAGAAAACTGTATCATACATTGAAAATGTTCTCTGAGTTCTCCACAGCTAATGCTTCTACATCATGACTTAAAAGAGATGAAACAGGTAAAATGCATTTGCATCTGGCAATTGGTGCTCTTGTCTGAGAGCAACCAAGCTACTGCTATAGCAGCCACATCCAGCCTACTGGCGATGTACTCATTTGTCCAGGAAGCATTGCACTGTATGCATGAAGCAATGAAAAATTATTCAATATTGCCATCTTTTGAGGAGAATAAATCTTTCACTCTACAAGAGAACTATTTGGGAAGTATTTTCCAGTTTTATTTTTATTGCTGGATGAAGAAAATATTTTCAGACTTTCTTGCATATAGTCCCTGGCTTGCATGAAATTCATTTAATCTCACATCAGGCTAAAATCTCCTAGCACACCACATAATATATAGAGTGCTGAAAATACAGTAATCAATCCAACACACTAACAAAGAGCGTCAAACCAAATTATTATGGATCAAATCAGAAACTTTTATGGAGAAATAAAACTTGGAAATACTCCAATTAGTAAAACACCAGAACCACATTTTCGCCACAAAAATTTTAATTCAAGCAACAGCTTCAGAGTCAGCTGTACAACATCAAGCTGTGTACACTGGGATAACTTTTTTAATCTAGGAGGCATTTTCAGAGCTTCAAATAATAGAATACACCTTTTTTCATTTTATACCTCAAGTACTGTTAAATGTTGCCATTGGTCTTTTCCAGCTAATGTCATTCAAAAACTTTAGATGGCTACACTATTCAAATGTTTAGATCCCAAATCTACTCTTTCTTCATACTTTTGCTCCGAACAGAATCAACAGATAAGAGATTTAAGTAAATAACACTAAAATTTTCAGACTTTCAAGTAGTGGGATTCTTCTCTTACCATTTCCTTATTTCCTTACAATGCTAAGACAGTTCAAGATTAGGGAGTAAGAGAAAACCCATGAGAGTGTGAAGGTAAATGACCGTTACTACCACATCAAGAGAATAGGTTCGTTTGAAAGTGTTCATATTTCTGTTCTCATTTACACAAAAGCAAATAAAATGACCCAATATGTGCACATTTCACCTTCTTTACACTGAAAACTTGTGATTTTCTTATTGCTCACTTAAATTCATAGGTCTGTCCTTTGACGTTTATGCATGTAAAGGAAAATAGTATTTTATGTGGAAATGTTTTTATACAGTAACTTAGAGTACCACCTTTCTCAGTAGAAGAAAAACACTTAATGAACTATCTTGTTAAATTATGTAGAGATTATACACTAGATTTTCATTTATTTCTTTTTTTCTTAAACAAATTATATTAGAGTCAGTCTTCCCCCAGCTATACATGGCACATGCAGAGAGATTTGATAAAACTTCCTGGTCTTACTTACTGTTGCTAAAGTACTTCATTTATGTTAGCAAAACATCAAGTATCCCATGGTATTCATTTTTGCCTGCACCACTGATCAAGAAAATTACATGACTCCTAAAGGAGTCTAGAAGTTTCAATGACTAAGACTTACTTTCAATTCACATTCAAAAGAGTGTGAATATCACACTTATCTTACACCATGGTAGTAGCACAGATATTCATATTAAAAATTTGTCCTTACTCCATATGTGATATAAGTAATTGTATTTAATAGGATTTCTCTCAAACAGTATGTCCATGAACATCCACTTGTTACTGCAATAAAAATGATGGCATTATTAATGTCAAGTGGCTATAAATGTCAAGGAATATAACTTAAGAGACACTACTCAAGAAAACTGACTGTTCATATTATACAGGCAAATGACTGCTTACTGATGTAATGTGAATACATACCACAGGAGGACTATATTAGTAATGTGCAAGTTATTTATAGCTGCTTCTTGAGAAGCTAAAAACAATGGCAACCACATTACTAGTATTTACAGTGAGTATTTGTGTTGTCAGATGAATTTTTAAAGTCTCAGATGGGGATATAGCACGATAGATGTTGGGTCAGATTTGTGGAGTGATAATCTAGGAGGTGTGCAGAGCAAGCTAATATGTTCACAGTTCCTGCATCCAAACCTGTTTCTGAATGAGATTCCGACTGACCCAGTTAGCACAATCTGCAAGGGATGAGAGACTTCATCATTCTGGATAACCCATCAACACTGTACAAAGCTAATCTCCAAATCAGTTTTGACTTCCCCTATTATTCGACTTCATTCTAGCCAGAACCATTAATGCAGTTAAGAAAAACAAAAGCAGTAACAACAGGAGAGGAAAAAAAAGAAAAAGGAATTTGTTTTTGATGCCTCTGCTTCCTGATTTTGATTAAAATAAATTCAGATTTATTTTTACCGAAACATTCAGTGATCATTTTCCTGTTCTTCATCTGTGAGTGCAGAAACTGTCTTTCCCCCAGGCAGAGACAACAGCTGCCAACAGCCGACACCACTAGCTTTGAGTGCTTTCAGGCTTTCTTTCTACACCACTGCAGATTATGCCCATGTAAGCAGATTAACTTGATTATTTCGGAAATATCAGATGTTACATTTATGCATGTGAAATGAGTTCAAGAAATACTGATAGCAACCAAGAGTCAATGACACACAGTGCTTTGCATTTAAACTTAACGACTGGCATCTCCACGCTCTCTAATAGCTGAATCCAAAGCATGTTTTTTTACGTGTTGTTGAAAAGGAATCGTGTTATTCAAGCCATGAAGTGTTACAGTGCCTTGTGCAATTCCATTTCAAAAACATTTTAAAGCCAGATCCCATTATGATAATCCACCATTTTTTTTTGACACATTAGAACAGTTCACTAAATATTCTGATTTATAAAGGTTTAATATTTTACACTTTTAGTGCCACAATTTCAAATATGTTCTAGAGTTCACCAGATATGTGGTATACCTTACTCATCCTAAAAAATCTGTGGAACAAGATCCCATGTAGTAAAGGAGATCATGTAAGACCAACAGAGAAAAGTCTCCACAGCTATGGAAAGAAACACAGATGTGTTTTTCCATGCTGTCAGCAAATATGTATGCATGACAGAAATATATGGTTCACCTTCACAGACAAGCAGGCTACAAGAGAATACCTCTTTGAATAACTAAACAGAGTTTCAGCTCAGTACATAGTATATGTTTCCACGCAGAGAATATCTACCAGTAGCCAAAAATAGCCTGATTTAACAAGTATTAAATTATAATAACCTAAACTAGAAAAGAATATTTTTATTACTACAGTATACATAAAAATCACATGACAGTAGAAGTGTCAAAATCTTGTAGATGGTCTTAAAAACTGTACCTGTAGCTCAATGCAAATAAGCATATGCATTGCCTGTGCTCTTAGCAAGTCCAACAAGACTGTCATAGCATTTAGTTGTCAAAAGCTGAACCATCCACTCTTTTGGCAATGCTGGAGGAAAAGGCTTGCTGAAATTTGTTTTCCAAATCCCCCATCTCATTTTTTGTCTAGAATTCCAGTGATAATGTGAACTATTCCTCAAAGATTTAGACAGTCAGGCTTGGTCCCTCTGTGAGATACCTTCTGCCTTCAGCTGTGATGTTTTGCAATTGGAGAGCAACAATATGCTCTCCATCAAAGCTTAAACCCAAGCTGACCTCCAGCTAGGTCAAGGAGGAGACAGGAGGGGACAAGGGGGATTAAAAAAACTAATAGCTTTCTTTTTGATTTTAAATGTTTATGTCCAAACGATGCTGCTTTGCCACTTCCGTATTGCATTGACCAACCTCTGAATTTCTGCCCTCTTGTCTTCCTTTAAAATATTAAATCAGGCAGGAGTGTTAACACTGATCAAGTTTATAGGGTTAGCTCAGGTTCAAACATGGATGTGAACCCTATGACCAGTACTATTTTTAACTTAGATTCATACTACAGCTCAAATATGGACCAGATCAATTAACTAATTAGGCAGTGAAATCTACCAGAGAAAATAAGTAAAAATTTAACTCAAATTCTCTATTACATGAGAACACGTGGAACAATGAATGACCCATGGCTCTTATCCAAGAATGGTGAACAGCCTGTGCACGTTCTTTTCAGAAATTAAGGCTCCAGGCCTAGCCAGAAACACCTCTTTTTTCATCTCTGCTGTGTTGCTTTATCATGGAGGGTACCATATCCTTATCTGCAGCTCTCTTCTTAATCCAAAATTAAGACCTAAGAACTCATACCTCATCCAAACACACTTCTTTTTCTTGGCCATCATATTAGCTTTCCGAGCACATATATTTTCTAAATCCATCAATCTAGCATAAATTCTGAAATTCATTGCTTGACTATTCCCCCAAAAGTCTGCAACTTCAATGTTTTATTATCTTCAGTTTACCTCTCTTCCATGAATGCCTTCTGGTCCTGGTTCTCCTTTTTCTCCTTTTTCACCCTAGAAGAATGAACATGCAAGATAAATACTAAATGACGACTTTTTTAAACAGGAAAAATACTTTAAGACTCTTGTATGTTCTACATGCAGTGCTACAAGTACAGTGTTGACTGCACAAGGAGAATTATTTCTTAGATTCCAAAAGAAAGAACTATGAAAGCTAAATCATAGTGCCAATGAACATCCATAAAGACTTATAGAAAAACATTCTTGATTCTCATAGTGCTTTGAGAACAATGTGGTTAAATAGAAATGTAAGGTGGGGGATATTTAACCTATTTCATTTTATTACTTGCTTATTGAAAAGCAGTAATGTTTTAAACATCTGATAACAGAACTGTCATCAGTATTATCTTTAACTCATACTGATCCATGGTTCCTTGACTGTAGTTGAGAAAGACTGAAACAATTTTTGTTATTTTTCAGAAGGAGGAATGTAAGTGACATATATTTAATTTACTTATGAATAAAAAGGAAAAAAAAAAAAAAGCAGAAGGGAATCTTCAGAATGAATGATATAGTTTGGTTTTTGGACTTCTATATGAAACATAATATTATTTGTAAAGTAGAAGAAAGGATTCACTTCTGTACTGTCTCTCTATTCCACTAGAAGTTACCAAAATACATCTGTTTATGAAGCATAATTTAAGGGGAAATGCCAGAACCAGCAAGTATAAACAGCTCTACAATTCCATCTGTGCCACTAGACTGAAATTTACCGAACTATAAAAATAACATCATTCTGATAAAAGCATGAGGACTGACTTATACTAGAGTCCAAGCTCTTCATTAATCAACCAAAGGAACAGTCCCACACTGTATTTCAGTGATCTCCAGTGGACTACATTTGTTTGAGCAGAACCTATTCATTATGTCAGCATAATCTTCATAATTCTGTTAGGTAAATGGTACTGAACTGAGATCAGTCAGCTAATTCCATTTGTGACACAACCCTGATTCAAAGCTATTTCTCCTGTGGCAATGACAAAGGGCATTTCATCTAATAATCTGTCTTACAAAACGAGTTTGTATGAGCTTTCTCAAACAACTAAAGCCTACTAACAAATTAGCAAACAAACTGTAAATTTAATAATCCCATGCAAAGGATGGCTTCGGTAGTTTGTTGTTTCAATTTTAATATATCTTGTTGATAAGAAACCAAATGCTATACATTAGCTTGAGTGACTCTGTTTTTACCTCAAGTATTGTTTCATTCCTTGTAAAAATTCCAAAATTTTAAACATGATAAACCTGATTGCAAGATGTTTAAATGATTTTAAAAAGTTGCAGGAATATAACAGTGGTTATTCTAGTATTTTCAATCCACCATGTTCTCTTTATTCTCTGGATTAAAACTTTGTTTGAGATAGTAATAAACTCTATGAGTTTAAAGAATAATGGTTAAAGTTCCAAAGTTCTTATTCTTTTAATTTTTTTTTAATCCCCCAATTAAAACTTTTGGAAGAAAATGAAATAAAGTGACTGGGGAAGGTCATGCTTAACTAATCTTGTGGCCTTCTATGATGGAGTGACGGCATTGGTGGACGAAGGGAAGGCAACTGATGTCATTTACCTGGACCTGAGCAAGGCCTTTGACATGGTCCCCCATCACATCCTCATCTCCAAACTGGAGATGCTTAACTAATCTTGTGGCCTTCTATGATGGAGTGACGGCATTGGTGGACGAAGGGAAGGCAACTGAT